TGATGTCTAGTGGATACCTTTGGATTCAGCTGATCCTTGTGCACGTGATCTGGCCTTTGGGCCAACCTCAGGCTTGATCTTATTGCTGCCGATAGAATGCATGATTTCAGCTCCACCTGCCTTCTGATGCGAAGTGAGGGTTCCAAGGCGGTTGCATTTATACCTGTCAAAAGCTAAGGTAAAGGCTGAATTTATAAAATGACTGCAAGTAGTTCTTAAATATTTTAGCAAAATCAAGTAAATTATTGCGTTCCTATCTCAGAACATTTTTCAAGAATAGGAATATTGTTTAAACTATTGTGAGCAATTGCAGGTTACTGTTAGACGAGTCTGTGATTTGCATCGGTTTTTGGTAGCGCATTGTTTATATTCGCATTAGAATCTCCGCTCGATTTGGTTCACCGTGCTTGCATTTTCACATGGGATGTGATGGAATTTGGAAATCACGAGGAGCACAGTTTTAACTCGGATCTCCAAATTTCCAAATCCTGTGAAAATGTACGCCTTGCACGTTATTGCTTTTTCGTGGTTGGCCATTTTGCTCGCTTTGCGAAATAATAAAACACGTTAAATGGATATTTGAATGTAACATCTTATCATTAGAACATTTATAAATAATCAGAATGTCTCCATTTTAGGCTTGTTGTCGTCGTGTAGCTGAGCATGCATCAAAACTTATACATGCCACTGCCATTCTCAAGTCATATATTTTGCAGCAGCACCAAAATCAGACAATTTTGCCCTCTCATACTCATTTCGGTGGCGTGGATCCAGTTCTTCATCGTGTCTGTACTAATTATGCTGCTATGCAGTGTCAAGTTGAAGAAGTACTTTCTCTTCAACGGGAGGTGCAGCAGTTGCGCAAGGAGTTGGAATTTCATCGCGTATGTTGCATCAACACTCATATTAATCATGTATCGAATGTTTAGGAAACGATTGCTAATTACAAGCAATTGCTGAGTGATGGGAACAGCCTTAGAGAAGAGCTTCGAAATGAGCTGGCACAGGTAAGGAAATCTGCATCCATTGCTCGTGCTGCTTTGGATCAAGAGAGGCGAAACCATGTTCCTCAATTGAGTTCACAAAACCCAAGCTCTCTCGACACTGTGAGTCGGTGGTTCGAGGCATACAATGATGAGAATGCTAAACTTCGCGAATCCATACGGTCACTGACTAACAAGGTAATTTCTTCGTTAATTCACTTGGCTCTAATAGTCTTTTTTAAGGAAATAGAACTATCAGCAGTAATCGCTCGAGTGAAGGACTATATAAAAGAGGAAGTGAGCCGGCTCATCAAGTTGAAGTCCAAAAAACTGGATACGGTTTTTTCGGGATCGTGGTTTTTGGGCCTTCTGGGATTGTTGGGTCTTTCCTGTCCTTCTGAATTGAAATACAAACTAATGGCTTTTTCCGTTACTTCATCGCCTTCATCATCACGTCAGCGGTGTTCCAAACGCTCTCGACGCAATCGATCGGTTTCAAAATCACCTCAGAAACCCTCCTCAGCGCTTGAAAATATTTTGGATGAGCTGGACGAAGCTTCGGTCGACGTGAGTGTACATACTCCGGATAAGTCGCAGCTGCGGACCCATACTCTATCCACTTCCTCCTCTACATCTTCTGATTTTGTGGAGGCTTCACCAAGAACACCGACTCGGAACACGAAGCGGATGAGACGGGACTGTGGTGTTTCTCCATCTCCCCCCACTCAACAGCTGCCAGCGGAGGATGTTGAAGGAGAAGCTTCACCGGTTTCCTCTCAGAAGTCTCGAAAACTACCTGAAATTGGGGTGTGCTTTAGTCTTTCTGATCAGAGTGAGTTGCTTTTCCCTGGCAGTTGAAATTGTCAGTCTTGAAAAATGGAGCTCATTTCTTGGAAGCGGTGCTTGCTTTACTTTGTTTCATGCACCAGGAGGCATCCTCTATGTAAACACCATGTATATACACTGCTGGCGCTCATTCTATCTTGTCATTTGATAGCTCGCATTCCCTCAAAAACATTTCTTATCGGCATGATTTGAACTATTCATAATCAGATATTTTTTTAATTTTAATTTTAACATGCATTGTTTTACACATTAATATTTTTTTGGTAGAAAAGTCGAGGAAGCTTAATGAAAGGCAAGGATCATTGCGAATTTCCGGCTCCATACTAAATAGTGATATTAAATCATGCGAGCAACTTCGTAAGTTTTTCCCCTTAAGTACTCACTTTCATCCCCTTTGATTATCTCCCTCGACGCACTCAATTGCAGAACCGACTTTTGAAGATACGAATCCTTCCCAAACATCTACAGTTGATTTGGATGAGACGGAGGCCTTGCCAGAGATAGAGAACCATCCTCTCAAAGGTCAGTTAAATACCCGTTAGCATCGGCTCGATGTGGGAATTGGAATGAGTGAGATGGCTTACTTATTTGTAGAATCTGAATTCTCCTCACCCGTTCTTCGACCATCTTCACCTGATAAACCTCTTGAAAATACCGATGCAGAATTTGAGCTTGAAAAGGAAAATTCAGTTGGTTAGCTTTGTTTATAGTATTGTTTTCATGTGGGCGACAAACGTCACTATACATTTCATTTAATCTGTTTAGAGAAGAGTGTCGAAGAAGTCGACTTACCGAGGAAAGCCCCATTGAAAAAGAAACTCCGGCGTCGCAAGCCAGTGTCGCCCCCAAATTGTCCTCCCACTAATCGTGTTCGAACTTGTTCATCTGTCGCAACAAAACGGAAGAGAAAACCGTTTTCTTTACCCAACTCCCTAGCCGAAATCATTACAGCTAAATTCTCAAAAGAAATTTTCAGTTGGTTCAATGATATCACTACCTATAAGGTAGTTCAGACGACTTCTTCGAAACCGCAAGCTCAAGTTGTTGAGCCCAAACCGGTTTCGCCTTCTCCTGAGAAAGCGAATAAGAAAGAGGACACTCCTCGAAAATTGAGCATTCCGCTCGGTAGCTGTGTGGGAATGGAATCGGGTATTGTCAGCACTCCTCAACCCCAATCCCTTCTCGAAGATCTGACTGCCCACTTTGCTGGCCAGCGGGCGTTTAACCATCCCTCTACATCCGACATTTCTATGAATCTTGTCTACGAAGCACTCATACAGGCATTAGGAACGGTTTCAGGAGTCGAGTCAGGTCCTACTCTTCATCCTCCTGACCCCGTTCTTCGAGCTGCAAGCCTGTTGAGGGCAATAGGTAAGCCTCAGAGCGTATCAGCCTTTACCATCTGGTTTCGTTTTCGCCCCCGTCTTAAGAAGAAGCGTCAGTGTTGTCCGCGAACACCGTTGGAAATTTATCGT